ATATATATAAGGTGAAGGAAGCAGCTAATAATTTATTCCACAGGAAGGCCAGGCCCAAGACGACCTTCTCAATATTTGGCAAGATAACACCTCTCAGCCTACTGGAGCAAGTCTTTGAAACAACTAACTGAATGTTTCTGCTGGGCTTCCTTCACGATTTTGCAGGTGACAAAACATACAGATAAACATATATTGATACATAAAGAACTTATGTTTGGTAAATGGTATTGGACAACAATATACAAGATAGCATAATACTATATAGTACCATCCAATCCAACCTTATCAACAATAGTGTTTTTAACACATCAAACATGCAATGAAGGATCATTAATTGTTACTTGTGTATTTCAGGCAATCACACTAGAAACATATCCTGCTGAACTCTCTCTCACTGCTTGGATATGCCTTTTCGGAACCGCCGGGGGAGCGATAGTGGCACTAGTAATGGAGAAGGGAAAAGCTGCAGTCTGGTCTATAAACTGGGACACTAAATTTCTTGCAGTTGTTTATAGTGTAAGAGCAACATATTAAAAGGGAGAATTTACTTCAAATTATTTTGGATAGTGAAATGAGACTTTGAAGTCGACCAACTTGTTGGATATAAAAGACAATGATACTGATGAGAACTCACTAAATTGTAATGACGTTTGATATATTGGACTAGACAGTACTTGATGAATAATTCACGAAGTTTATCATATATCTCTCTTAATCCTGTCTAATCAAAACCAGTCCAACATGCCGAAGGGTCAAGGGCAATCACATAATCCTTAAATTGACCATTAGCTTTCCAAAGACCCCAATATTCCAAGTCATTAAATATCTTCCTATACAATGGATGACGTGACTTGTCCATAAATGGAATCATTATAACATAGAACAGCCTACAAGAAAATATTGCAGGGCATGTTTCTTCAGGACTTGCTTATTACATCCAAGGAGTTGTATTGAAAGACAGAGGCCCAGTTTTTGAAACTGCTTTTGGCCCATTGAGCTTGGTTATTGTTGCTGTCCTCAGCTCTTTTATTTTGGCCTAGCAAATGTACTTGGGAAGGTGAGTGTTAAGCTCTTCCTGAACCTTATTTATACGCTTATGACTTGCTTGGTAGGGTTCTCGACAGTATTAAAGAAAATAATAAAGAAAAAAAAAAGAAGCAAAAATCTTCTCTATCGCATTGTCCAATTGAGTACTGCAACATGAAGCTGCTATTATTTCTGTACAGGGTTGTTGGCGCCATTGTAATAGTTATTAGCCTTTATCTTGTTATTTGGGGTAAGAAGAAAGATTACAAGTCCCCACAGGTTGAAGAAGAAGCAATACCAGTGAAGAAAATGATAGAAATTGACAACAATGGCAATGAACACTCGAACTGTGAAGTCATTAACATCAACATGTCCAGAGAAGGAGCTGTCACGAGAGTTGATCATGCTCTGATTGGTGCTGCAAATCTTGAAAACTCTTTGAACAGCTATATAGTGTCCCATATTGAATAAGAAAGTTAGGTTCTCCCAGACTTTTTGTTACGTCATGATGTATATAGTGTTGTAGATTCTTATCGAGTACTATTATCATTTGATGATGCCAGGAATAAACAAAATTGATGTTTAATTTGTTTAAGATCGATTTTAGAATTTTATGGTTTAATATATTCGTGTTAATACTAAGAAAACTCGATCCATTTCTCTAGGAGAATATTTTTTTTCCTGGAACTAAGGGTTCAAAAATCCATAAATTCGACTAAGACAAACCTAAAACAAGAAATGAAGAAATGCTTGCATAAAACAATGCAATGAGCTTCTGATCAAAGCCGCGAACAAAGAGGAATACTTGTATAAAAATGATTAACTCTCAACAAGGCTGCATGCAGTCATGGAATTGTACTATAAAGTGAAAAGGTAAAACTTAAAAGAACAGCAATGGGTCCAAATGAAAATGGTGGATCTAGTCGTTTCATTGCCTAAAGAAAAGAACACCACCATTGATTTCGTTACCTTTTTTCTCCCAAAAATTGGAGTTTGGAAGTTAGTGTAGTCTTGCAAATTTGCCTTTAGGCTCCAGGAGGAAGGAGCAACCTGTAGTATGTACAAGTAATTTCAGAAGCCAAACAACTTGCCATTCCAAAATCAGTTAAGGTCTGATCCCTCTTCTTCACTATCATTTTCAGAAGCTTCCTCTAAAGCTTCAAGAGGCCCCTGTGGCTCTCCAAACAGGGTAGAGAGTATCTGTCTGTGGCATTCATCACAGAGAAAGAAATAAGAGAAGTGACCCTCTTCTGGGAGTTTATGTACAACAGCACTGGGTAGAATACGGGCCAAGTAGTCGGCCATTGATGGGGGAGTTACCATATCATCCATCCCCTGTTTCAACAGTGGCAATATCAGGAAAAGGACTCTGAGTTAGAATGTCGTATTGTTTTAAGGCTAATATAGTTAGCATGGAGTTGTCCCAGTTTCATTTTCTATAAGCAAGGTTAGAAAGAAACAGGAAATGCCTGCAAACCTGCCATATGTGAATTGGGCCAAGAAATCCAGTCAATTCACAATCTGTGTCACCATACATGAACTTCATCCAAGGGAAAAAGCCCTTGCTAGAACACTTATTCTGCACTTGAAGATCCGTGAAGCTAAAACCCCAATTTGATACTTGCAGTATGGCTTCCTCTACAAATGGTTTTGTGCTTCCCTGACGAATTGACTCTTCAACGTCCCTGTGCCACAATTCTTCAAAGGATGATTTCCCAACCAGATCTTTGTCCTGGATAAACAAAGGTGGAACATATCTTAGATAACGAAAATTTTAACACAGCTTACCTAGTTACAGTCAACTAGTAAACAGGCTAAAATAGAGTTGTATTTTAACATCCACTAATTATCATAGTTTCGAGCATATAAAACTATTATTATGCTAATATCAGTATCAAATAAACAATTTCTTGCCTATTGTGGCAAATAAATTCCAGCACGTGAAAATCACACCGAACTCCCATTTTTTAGGTTTCAAACCAATCTCTATGCAATTTCTCTCTAATCTGAACTTGCTGTCTTTAGTTGTTGAAAAACAAGACCCGACAGCAGAGACAGAATCAAAGTTTCTGTCAACAAGTTGCCAAGCTCAATCACGTAGTAAATATGAAAGGGGCAAAAGCAGAAAATGGTTTGCTTTGAACTGGAAGACAGCGCTTACAAATACCAAAAATAATTACCAATTTACCATTATAAAAGGAGTAAAAGCAGAAAACTTACTGCTTTAAATTGGAAGACAGTATTTAGCAGATACCCAAATTAATTATCATTTCCTGGGGTGTTGATTCAAAATAAAGAACTACCTGTGCAGTTTCATCTCATTGCTTTAACCAGTGCAAAAATACTAGGAAGAGATGACAATTACCTTCTTTTCCAGTGATACAGACAACCATTTATCTATTTGGCCATGCTTCCCAGACAGAAAAGTTCGATGATAAAAGTATCCAAGCAATTTGGGGAATCTTCGAGCCAAATAGTACATCAATTTTCTTTTACGCGTCCATTTTTCCCAAGTTCTGGACATCTCATCCTTAGTCATGCTCGAGTCGTATGGATTAACCAGTGGAGCAAACATGGCTGCACCTGTAAGAAATACATTAACACTTCATAAAATTTCCAAGATGCATATAATATCCTACTGGTATTTTAATAGAATCTTCCTTGATGAGTAGCAGGCAGGATGATGCTTACAAGTGCATTTCACTACCGATGAGCACAGTTTCATCACAATGTATTCTGGTTTTGCACCATGGAATACCCTGCCACGCACCCAATTGGGAGGGAATTGGAACAGTGGGGTTCACTATTTGTGTTTTGTTCTAAACACATTTTATTGCTGTCCTTGAAAAGTATATTTAGGAAATTGCATTACAATTATATAAAATATTTCCCTCCCAAAATTTCATACTTTCTCTCTGTGCTAAGTACAGCATACCTGCAACTCGATCTGGAATGTACTTTAGAGCAGCCCAAGCATGCAATGAACCACCTGAATGTCCAACAACCCAGAATTTGCCATTTATTCCTACAGCATCTGTTAAGTATGACATATCCAGAGCTGAAGAGTTAAGGTTTCTGCTAGGATGGGGATCACTCTCTCCAAAACCAGGTAGATCATAGGTAACCATTCGAACACCATACTCTTCCAGTAATAAAGCTTTGACACCTGGTATACCTTTCACATGAGAATTATAAAAATATTAATACCTCATAGCATCAGAACATGCATTGGAACTTCTTTATCAGATTTTTAAACAACATCAACAATATTCAGTAGCTAGTAGTACCTGCAAGGCGAGAAGACAGGGAACTATGTGGAGCAATTAGTGAAAATCTTGCTTTGTCAGCAGGAACACCCAGCTCACGATATGCCACATATCTACCATCTGGAAGAAGTACACGGGCAGCACTAGGAGGATGTACTTTAACCTTTTTCACCATTGGATTTGGACTGTCATGTTTACTATTTACATTCAGAACTGCACATATAGAAAACAATTTCTTTATGTGATTAACGAAAAAAGAATAAGCAAAGGCGCACCTACAAAACGGGAAATCTAGTATGAAAGTTCTTCCTTTTGGAAGTGCAAAATTTCAAATTATCGAAAAGGTTAAGTGGTGTCTAAGAAATAATAGTTGAGTAAATAAATAGGTGGATTAATGTCTAAAGACCAATCTAAAAGTCTGCACTCCATATAATCATTCTGAGGACATAAATCTTGCTACAATTTCCAAGTAAAATTTAAAGTTGTACAGAACACAAATCCGCCCACATTGATCAAATGTTTTGCAACACAGACATTAGAACGATATAAACAGAAAGGAAACATAGGATCAGTTTGATTACCTCAATGACCAGCCATCATATGTGAAATAACAGGTCAGTGATTAATGTATTTCAAAGTGTAGTCTTGTGTTGTAAAACATTACTTTCAAGAAAACATTTCCAAAAATACTGAGAAAAATTGGCCGCTCAATGGAGCTTTATCCAACTGCTCGGATTCAGTTCCACACGGCCTTCGAAACACCTCTAAGTAAGTAGTATTCACCATCTATAGTATAAAGTGCAACCCAATAGAAAAAATAAAAAACCAAAATAAAATTGAGACTTGGTAATCCTACAATTATTAGTTATGCGTGCAGTTATTATAAATAAGTCATTTTACAGCAAAAACATACTAAATTACCTGCAATGGAAAGGATAAAAACAAAGAAAACAACCAGCCAAGCATGCACCGGATTGCGATCCTCCGGCAAGAACTCATTTAGAAAACTCAGTTTCTCCGAAATCTCTGCCAACGGACCTTTGGTTTTCTTCACAATGTAAGAGTCCTCAGTCAGTAATGTCTGTTGTACCACATCTTTACATCCTCTGCCTAATTCCACTACCATTTCTCCCCACGCCGTGGCGAATCCCTTAAGTTGATCCGTCAAACTCTCCGGTTCCGCCGCCACCGCCGATTCACTTCCCAGCGACTTGAAGACTGATTCCTTAGTCATAAATGCGTTCGCCGAAACTCCAATTGCTTTGTCGGTGAATCGGATCCCCGGATCTACTAAGCTCGCCGGCTCCTCTCCCCATGAGTTAGATTCTGCTGTTACCTCCATCCTTTAATATGCACAAGTACATGAAGTATACGTATAGCCACCAGAAATCTTACTGATACGCTCAAATTAACAGCGAAAATCAAGTATATTTAGCAAAATGAGAAGCTAAAAATCAAATTAAAAAATATATAAGTTCCTGTGTAGTGTGATTATCGTGCATATGCATATTATGTATAAATGTGGTCTCTTTTAGAGAGATTAACGAGTGTAAAGATTCAGAACAATTTCCAGTGTCTTAATTCCTTGTAATACATAATAATACACACATATATTTGAATCATGAAGTAAGCATTTGAAAGATTTGAGTGGATTTTGAGGGAGGAAGGAAGGAAGAGCTATTAAGAGATTCAGAACAATACTGAGAAGAAATTCAATGTGATTCGGATCAAATTCCTGGGAGCTTCTGATCCTGCATTTATACTACTTTTAAAGCGAATTGCATTAAGGGATCCATTTTAATTTTAATGTACTTTTATCTTGTTGATGAAATAATATTACGCGTAAATTCAAAATGTGCATCTTCGATTGCTTACAGAAATTTATAATGTCGAGTGTCAATCACTAGACTTATCTGAACGTTGAATGTTACTCATCGGGATGACATTCGTTTCAAACTGTTAACGAAATTAGTGACATGGCTAACGGAATGCACATGTGGAGTCCATCATGCTTTTAACAAATTGTCACGTCCTCAATTGTTCACTGAACTTTGAAAAACATCTTTAATTGTTCATTAAACATTGAAAAACGTATTTGATTGTTCACTAAATTTTGAATAACATTTTCAAATGCTTACTGAAGTTTGATGCGATCGAATTTTGGCTACTAAACTTACAAAACTGACTTCGACCTATTATTCGTTAAAAAATGTGTATTGCAAACACGGATTGAGTAAAAGTAATAAAGTTGACAAAGGAGTTCGGGTTATCTATCTCACGAGAATTGATTACTCAACTACATAGTAGTTAAATCTACAAATGACGTCGATCTATTATTCGTTAAAAAATGTGTATTGCAAACACGGATTGAGTCAAAGTAATAAAGTGAACAAACGAGTTCGGGTTATCTATTCCACGAGAATTGATTACTCAATTAACTCCACATCCTAAAAAAAAAAAGGAAAAAAATCACGATTACAAAATACATTTTTCTAAAATATCCAATGAATTTTAATGCATTTTTTAATATTGAATTCATACAGACATGCAATAGCAAGTATGCTATAAACGAATAGCATTATTCAAATGCAAGACTCATGTAATGTTCGGTAAAAAAGATTAAGTTATCGTTTGTCTTCCTCTAAAACAAAACTCTTTAATTCTTATATTTATTTTTAACAACACATTCACACAATAAAATATTATGCAGGTAAACTCAAAACTAATTTCTACTTTTAAATTACACATTTTCCAAAAAAAAAAAAGCAATATTCAAAACATCATTTTTTCTTAACAATGACCGTCGTCAAACAAGGGCTAAATTGTCCAAAAAAGTAACATCGACAACATCATGTTCCAACCTGTCAACATCACGTCTGGTTGAAATGATAAAATTGTTTATACATCGTAACACAAAGTTAACGATATTTAGAATCTTTTCCCCATTTTATGGCGGATCATTCCAAATATAAAAGTTAAATCTATTAAAACCTTTTAAAATCCTTGTATTCACGTAGTATACCTCGATGAATGTTGTAATATCTCAATCATTAAATTAGCTTGGAGTAAAGGTTAAAGATAATTGTCAAATTTATTGATAGAAGGAACAAAAATATTTAATTTTAACACTTGTTCATCTTTAACAAAGCATTTTAAAAAAAACTAGAATGGAACCAATTAATACCAAACATAGTAACTTTACTGGCGTGAAATATAACTAGAATTTTTAGTACTAAAAGGGGAAAAAATAAAGAAAATTCCACGCAGCAACCGACCATTGCTCAGAAGAATCAAATCTTCACCTAAAAAGAGTAATAAATTAATAGGAAAAAGGAAAGAGTGTCGCACCCAGTCGAAATTTTGGTGAAAGTTGAGTGACCATGGGGGTAATTTACCCGACACTGAAATCATCACTCAGTGGTCCATCATCGGAGAAATTAATTTGGGATCCGGATCCGAAAATTTTACATCAATAAACGGGCCCATTAATGGACGGACCCTAATGGACGTTTTCGAGCTTTGTACTGAGCTGCACATTGCAGGTTTTGTACGTTATGGCGATGGGGGCGCCATTACCCAGCTGACGATGATTATGCTCGGTGCACAAGAGACCTTTTCACGGGGTTATGCGGCCCGGCTCCGCCTATTGCTTGAAAGGAAAAAAAATAACTAAACCACGTTTGGCAATTATTAAAATAATTTTTTAAACTCATTTTTAATCACACATTCTCACAATAAGATATTTTGCATGTAAATTTTAAAAAAAATCTACTTTTCGATTACATATTTTTCAAAAAATCAATATTTCGAAACCTATTTTTTTGGAAACGGGCTAAATGTGATGAAATGACGTGCGGCAAGATCACGTGACAAGAATGCTCCATTGTCACTATTAGAATGATCTTCAATTTAGGATCAGATTTGATGCCAATCTAACGGTGCAGACAAGATTTGAACTTTATGTGTTTTGAGCAGTGAAAAAGTGGATGTGATGTAGGCTCTGTTTGAGCTCATTTTCAGAAAACAAACTTTTTTAAAAATGAATATTTAGAAATTAAGGCTCAAACGAGTGCATAATAATGAATAGTAGGGCTGGGCGCGGTTCGATTTGGATTGGTTTCAACCCCAATCCGAAACCAAAACCAAATTAGTCGATTTGGAAAAATTTCAACCCAAACCAACCNTTACGTGCACACTCGAATACAACTTCTTCCAGTACCAAATATATGTGGAGTTGGACAAACAAGCACATCTTTGCCTAGAATTTAAGAGTGTGTATTTTTACATTTACTTATGCATGACTATCTATAGGGAGGGTCCTCATGGAAGTAGTTTAAGAGATTGCGACCCTTATTCTATGTGTTGCGCCTTTTTTAGTTCGTATAAGTTTAGTTCATTACGGTACATTTCCATTGACGTTTTTCTTTCCTTTTTGAATTGGGTTCCTAATAGAAATTGATTCTTCGGGATTTTTCTTGATCCTCGAGGATCCCACTCTGATTTTTAGGAGTCGATAATGTAGTTTCTTTATAAAATACTCATTTTCGGAACATCTCCAAATTTCGCTCAAAAAATTATGCCATGTTCTCTTTTTCGTTTTCCAGCCGTTTTCTGTTTTTAATTTTTCAAAACAGCGAAAACGCGTTCCCTATCTTATTTTCGGAAACGCGTTTTTGAAAATGAAAAAAAAACAATTGAATACTGAAAACGATGAAAACATCGTTTTGTAAAATAAGGCCTGTTCTCTGCCCAAATCAAAAAACATGCGAAACAAACCCACAAGTTTCTCCTTCTCTCTGAACTCGCGAAACAAACGCACAATTCTCTCCCTTTCTCTGAAATCTCTCACTCTCCCTGTAAATCGACCAATTCTCACAAAGCCACAACCAAAAATCGACAACAGATCGCAACTTGGACGAGGACAATGGGTTCTATACGGCATCTTCAAAGCAAGGGCTATTTGGTCTGGTTTAGGCGAATCAAAGGAGTGTCACGACGGGCTGTTTGAATCAAGATTTCGCATCTTCAAATCAAGGTTTTGATTCTTTGCTCGTGATAATCTTTAGATATTTGCTTGCTACTCCATTTCTAAGTTGTTGGGCCCAATTTGCCCTCTGTTTTTTTATTTGATTGCTGCGAAAATTGAGGCGGGTTGGGTAAGTCGGAGCGGTTAATTCGCAGGGGGAAGGTTAGATGGTGGTGGAGGCGGAATTGTAGGTTGATTTCGTAGGGGAAAGGGTAGCTGGGCTGGAGGTGGAGGTGGAATTGATAGAATGGTTTCTGGAGGTGGAGGTGGAGGTGGAGGTAGATGTAGAGGTAGAGATCTAAACCAAGTTAACTGATATTAGAATGGAATTGTTTGAGGTGGAATTGTTAATAGTATTTTAGAATGACAAATTAGGTAGAGGTGGAATTGTTTGAACAGTTTCTGGAATTTTATTAAACTCCACAACAGATTAGAATGTTAATCATACCTAAATAGTTTAGGTTTCGTAAATTTGTTAATAGTATTTTAGAATGACATATTAGAATGTTAGAATGACAATTTGCTTATGAGAAATGAGATTTTGAAGAGTAAAAGGAGGACAAATTAGGAATTTAATAAATTTGTTATTAGTATTTTAAAATTTTCGTTACCACCATAATATCATCTTCTTTGTAATTTTGGTATCCTCAATGTTCTTAACAAGCTGCATAAAAGAGAGAGTACTTTACAATTGGATATGATCAATAGTCTGGAAACTGAAAAATAAGACGGAATGTGCTACGTAGTTCCAATTTTATCATGTAGCTCATCAGTCATGCTAGTAATTTGAAATTTCTTTTGATCTTTTTGTTGTATTCTGGATGCAAACTGATGGAAATAAATCTGAAAATGGTAAATACGGGGTTGTAAATGGTTTTAGATTCCTTAATCAATCTGACCTGATAATTTTGGAATTTTATTCTGCAAAGTGAGGTGATTTAGGTAAATATAGACTAACTAATTAAGAGTATACAAATCAGTTGGTGTTAAGAATATAGACTAACTTTGGGATTTTTGATCTGCAAAGCGAGGTGATTCCTCGTACGAATAGATTTGAGTATGAATTTGAACCTTTAATACTATAATATACTCATTTAATCATGAAATAATTAAAGAAAAAGTAATATTTACTTTTCCGTGTCCACATACTCAGAATTTGAAAGTTTGAAACCAAACCCAATGTTTAGACATTTACCTTCATCTTCATGTTTAAGTCATCATTTTTTTTGGAATTCTCTATCATATAACAGCCTAAGTTTTCTTGTTTCCCTGTAAATCCTGAATTTCTTAACTTACAAGGATTTTTGAGAGTCACA